AGTTGCACGCTGCTTATTAATTAAGTTAACCATCATTCTATTGCGTAAGCATAATAGTAGGGAAGCCAGGAGTTCATTTCTCTTTAAAGGCCCTTGGAATGAGTGGCCAAAGGATCAAATCATGCTGTGATGGTTTATTTACTCGTTTGTTTTAATTTGCTGCTTCTCCCACGGAGTCCTAAGTATACATGCTTGTAAAAGAATTCCCATTCAGCTCATCAGTCTGGATGGGACTTGCCTTGTACAGTGTTTGAGTTGCAAGATAACATGCCAGCTTAATCCTTGGGGACCAGTTTTCAAATGGAGTTGTGATTCCAAGCTGGGTCATTCTGTGCTTGCGCTCTGTGGCCGCAGGGGCTATGTTCCTTAGATGACCGTAACATTATCCAGCAGAGGTTATCAGGATGAAAGCTAGCCAGCAGCCAAATGCTTGATTTTGCTGTTGATTACATTCCTCCCTGCTGATTAATCTGATGGAGAGGAAGGATGGCTGCTGGATTAATTGTTCTGTTTATTGGGAGTTTGCTGGTCTTGGATCTGCAATAGCAGGGGGAAGAAAGTAGGGTTTGCTCCAGGTTAATTCTTGCATCTTAGAAAGGTTCTTGGTTTAGGTGAGATGGCTTGAATAGTTTGACTAGGCCACGTTTAGGGCGAGGGGACACATTTGGAATTTGGAGGATGTGGGCACACTCTCAAAATGGCTCCTGGGGTACTCCATTGACAACAGGGCTGTTGTAGGGAATAGAGCCAGTTGCAAAACATCAACTGACTAGATTGCTACCTGTTGCCCACTCTAGATCAGCCTCCTGCAGGGTGCACCGCCCATCTTGCATTTGGTAGGAAAGCTTATCGTTTAGGGAATAAAAATGCCTCCCTTTCCTGACTAAACATTCATTTGTCCATTGGGGCTGTAATACACCCCCCTTTTTGTTCTAAACCTAGGTGGACTTCTTGCTAAGTCCCAAAATGAGGAAAGTCTAGTTAGTTTGAGCCACCATTTATGAACACCACTGTAGCATAAATCATGGCTTGATCTTAGCTTCTTTCAGAAACCCTGATTTTAAAATAGCGACAGGTTGGCTTGGCTTGGAAGTACACGGTGGTTAGTTTGAATCAGGAAGCAGATGTTTTGGGTCATCTTTTCAAGTGGGATGAAGGAAGAAGCATTCTCAGAATCTGACGTAGCCTTGCATCCGAACCAGGCCTCTGTGAGGTCCTGCAAGCCTTTAGGAGCCTTTGCTCACATTTACCCTGAATATACATTTAGCTACCTTTAAGAATGAGAAATGTGCATGCAGTTATTCAGCATTTGCACCCACATGTATTGTGCTGGTAAACTGGTCTGGATATCCTGTATTGGCAATGTGTCCTTTGCCTTGCACAGCTTGCTCAAAAGCCTTTTAGTGCTGGCTACTTCAGACCAAGAAGGTCTTCCACGAAAGAGGAAAAAGGGGGCTGATGGCTTTCCTTCCCCGCTGAACGTCAGCAAATTCAGGGTCTGCCATTTGTTTTGCTTCAGCCCCACCCTCTCTGGCTGTCTGTGTCCCTTCTCCCTTGCCTGCTCTCCCCTTTCCATGGGAAAACCAGAAAATCGGGCCCTAACCGGGGCTTCCTTTCTTTCTACAGGAGTGGCTGCAAGGTGAAAAAGTATGAGACTCATTCCTTGGCCCTGGATACCTGCTCTCAGGTAAAGGTGTTCAGCTGCTGCCTGACTCCCCCTTACAGCATGGCTGTCCTTGCTCAGAAATGCAGAATCAATATGTGGTGGGTGGATGCGTGCAGGAGGAGCCAGGAGCAAATTTGCCAGCCTCAGAGGTTGGCATCATAGGCCTTCCTGAAGCCAAGATTCTGGGCATCCACCATTGGTTGGTATGATAAGTCATAATGGCTGGGTTGAAAATCTTAAACATGAAGGACAGGAGTAGGCAACTTGGACAGATGCTGAACCAAGGGGTACCATGGTGGCTACTCCATTCTAGGCTGCATGTGTGGGACATACATATATATATATGTGGGTGTGGGTATATATATATATTTGTACTTGAGATATATATTTGTGTATACCTCACTCCTGTGCCTTGTTTTGCGAGAAACTCTCTCTGCTCAGCCTTTCAGTGGTTCTAGCCAGATATGAATTCCTAGCCATGATCACTTCTCCATTCCCTGCCTGGAGAAGGGAAGTTATTTTGAGGGAATCTTCTTGGCCAAGAAGCATTTGCCATGGTGCTAGCAACAATTCAGAGGTCCAGAATTTAATGTAAGAACTAGAAGGTAGTACCAGAAAGGGGAGTTGGTAACGGTTCTGATGTTTGACACATGAAAATATGTAATTTCCTCCCTCAACCCCCAAGTTGGGAAGCTTTTAAGCTTTGAGATTGTCAAGACATGCAAGTAAAATTCATAGTTAATATACTCATACTGCAGGAGACAGCATGTTCACACAATACACTAAGTCAGTGTTTCTCAACCTTGGCAACCTTAAGCTGTGTGGACTTCAACTCCCAAAATTCCCCAGCCAGCCTGCTGGGAGGTATGTGTATTCCATTCACCAGCCTTAGTGGTTTTATGTGTATGTGAACCAGGTCATAGCATTTGCACCAGGAGAAAGAGGGGGGGGGGAAACTACACGAAGTCCTCTTTCCAATCCTTGCTCCAGCCAACATGGGTGCCTCCAGATGGTGTGGACGTCAGCTCCACGGATTCTCCAGCCTGCGTGGCTGTTGCTGAGAATGTGGAGTCCCATAGCTGGAGGGTGCCAAGATTGGGGGTGGCTGGGCTTCCTGGATGTAGCCTGTCTACTAATCAGGTTCCCATTAAATACTGTGATGGGTATATAGTCAAGATTTGATTATTCTTACCGCCCTCTTGCTTATATAGGGTGAAGAGGAAGCAGCACTTATTTCCAAAATCCCAGATCTTCCCAGTCGAGACGGGCATGCTACCGATGAAGAGAAGCTGGCTTCCACATCCTCCGGTCAGAAGCCAGCTGAGTTGGAGGTAAAAGGTGAGCCCGAGGAGGACCTGGAGTATTTTGAGTGTTCCAATGTGCCCGTGTCCACCATAAATCATACGTTTTCATCCTCAGTAGAAGGTATGGAAGCTCCTTTCATTATTTTATCTCTCTCTTGCCTTAATAATGTAGTTGTCCTCTACCTGCCTTCCAGATTTGCTGAACCATAACTCCCATCACCCTTACTGGTAGCATAGTCATTGGCTGTCCAGCAAGGGAATTCTGGGAATTCTAGTCCAACACATCTGGAGGAGAGAGGATGCAGGAGGCTACTGTATTTCAATAATGCTTGCATTCTGGGAAGGCTATCAGCTGCTGAGTGGAATTTTTTCTGAGTCATCATATGCCTTTTTAATAACACAAATGTACAGGTTGGATTCACTGAATGTGTCTCTTCCCGAAGCCTCTGAGTGGGTATAAGTTCACATTGTTAGATATTGATGTGTGAGGGTACACATACATCTTTTGGAGATCTGGAAGACCTATATCAATATAAGTATAGGTGTAAAGCCTTGTAAAAGAGACTTCAAAAAATGAGTAAAGGAGAGTTTAATATTTAATTCTTCTAAGCAAAATGACCTTTCAGATTGCCAGGTTGATTAATCAAAGCTTTGCAGGATGGAACTACTGATTTGATTAAAAAGTGGTGTCTACTGGGCCATAATACTTTATTTAGTATCTGCCAACATTGGGAAAATCTGTTTGAATTGCAGATTGGATTCCCATTGTATTGGGCCCTCTTAAATCATTGTGTACCAAGATGCAGAGTGCTTGATGTTTTGACTCAATGTTCATGGAGGATGCCAGCTCTGCCATTATTGTCCTAAGCATGTTGGAAATGAAGACCTCAGGGAATGCGATAGATCTCCTGGTCCGGATTCTGCTTCTGATACTTTCCACCACATCCAAATATGTTGAGAACTATGGGAAATAACTTGTAGTAAAAGCATTCAGGGACACTGGGAACTACAAAAACTGGGTTTTCCCTTGATACTTAGGTGCCCTACCACGCTGGATGTTTTCATGAATGCTCATTTGCCCAAATGCAGTGTCATTGACATCTCTGCTGCATTATTCATTTTAGCCCTCCTAACCCTTGTCTCTTCCATCGTAAGTTGGAAACGGGGGAAGATTGCTGGCAAGTGGTGCAGTAGGGATTTGCTGGGAGAGTTTGGTTGGAGAAAGATAGACTAGAACTCCTCTGAGCTCTTCCTTGATTTCAGGACTCTTAGCATGTTGGTGCAACATGCACTCCCACTCAAGTCGAGGCCTAGAAGACGTGCATTATTTTTAAATGCCTGTCTGAATATTAAAAAGGAGGAAATTAAAAAGATGTTTGCATATTCAGCAGAAACATTAAACCTCTGCATCTAGAGTTGCAAGTGAGTTGGTTCCCCCTTCTGTTATTGTTCCAAATGCAGGCGTGCTTGTAGCAGGACATGGTCCCATTTCCTTCTCCACGCAGGGCAGGCCATGAAGTGGCTGGTGGATACATGAGGAATTTTGAGAGCTTGGTGTGGGCACCCTCACAAAACAACTGCAGGAGGGACTAGCCTGTATGCAAAATGGCTGTCCGTTCACAAAAACCCTATTTTGCTGAGACAAACTGGAAAGGAGCTAAATGCCACCATCTCTGATCTCCTGTTCTGCGTTCTGCGTTCTGCCTTCTTTTTGGCTGGTGGGCACATTTCCAAGCAAAGAACTGGACTTTAGCTGTCTGTCATTTTTGCTTCCTAAGACTGCCCCTGGGGCTCCAAGGCCTCCTTAAGAGTAAGCATATTGCTTTGCCCAAGGCCGGCTCTCCATTTTACACCTTCATTTAATTAAAAAAAATCATGGTTTGGAAGA